CTATTCTATTCTATTCTATTCTATTCTATTCTATTCTATTCTATTCTTAGTATTTATTTGATTTGTCAATTGCTTACAAGATACAGGTATAAGAATAAACATAGTTTTGAATACATGAGATAGATACTTATAAGAAAAATAAAAAGAAACAATAGGATAGGGACGGTAGGCACGATTGGTGCGCTTATGCACGCCCCCTACAGGCCTCTTAGGAAGGGGGTGAGATCAATAGTAGACAGTCTAAGGTTAAAGTTTTTAGGGTTTGGGGAAGAAACCACAGAGTCAGGTAGAGCATTCCAAACATTGACCACGCTGTTGCTGAAGTGAAGAAATTCTATGCTACACAAGTATTTGAGAAAAATTATTGAGAACAATATTTAAACAATATTCTATTCTATGCTACGCTACTCTATGTTACACTACACAAGTATTTGAGAAAAATTATTAAAGAATAATATTTAAAGAATGAATTCAGGATATATTCCTAAATGCAATTGTGTGAAAATAAAGTCCACTGAACACAGAATCTACATTAATGATTGAATGCTAAGGACACTTCCTAGTCTTTCATCTTCTAATCTTCCCAATTCCAGTATAAAATACACCAAAGATTGAGCCATCCTGTCTTGACCCCTGTGAATTCAGTCTCTGTCTTCCCTTCCTGGCAACTCTTCCAACTCATATATACGTGGCCCTTGAGTTATGACCATTTGTCCAGTGGCCCTGCAAAGTTACAGTGGTGCTGCACAAATGGTACTTAAGTGGTCATGTGATCTAAATTCAGGTGCTTGGCAGTTTGTCCAAACTTACAACCTCAGGAGCATTTAAACTCCCCTCACCTGCCTATTTTCACTCCCACCTCTGCCCTTTTGGACGCCCTGAACAGCAGCATACCTCAATAACAGCACTGGGGCCTTTTGGCAAATGCCATGATTTTGGTTGCTGATAGTTGAGCCCTAGCTGGTCTTCCTTTCAATACTGTGCTAATGCTCTCAATTTCTTTCAAGACTAGTAGATATTCTTGAGAGTATTGCTGCATTGTCTGCATAGAATAAAATAGAGGTGTCTTCCAACGAGTATGGGAAGTGAAAGTTTGTGTTGAGGAAATGGCCCACCATGGAACTGATATAAAAGTTGAATAGAAATTGAGCCAATATACAGCCTTGTTTTATCCTTTTCGATTAATAGTGGCAACAGGGAGTGCCAGGATTGCCATTGTTAAGCAATGCAGTCATGTGATGTTGTGGTTTACAACTGCATTGCTCAGCAGGCTGTGTAGTTTTTATGAGGAAAGGGGGTCAGTTCTGGAGAGCGCATCAACAGTTCTGAAATAGAAATTCCCATATACAGAAACAATAAGAGTCTATAAAAAAGTCATAGAATTTGCAAGTTCCTGGTCATGACATTATTCAATGATTAAGGAGGTTTATCGCATGCAATCATTAGAACAGCATCTTTCTACACTAAATCTCTTAATATAATGAATTCACAGTTAGATGCTCACCATATTTCAGCCAAAACAGGATTTGACAAACCTGACTGTAAAAAAAACATTCGTGCTTGATCACCTGTATGAAGAAAAGAAAGGGGACAGAAAAGGACATAATAATGCATTTCTCAGTTGGCAATTTTGTTCTAAAGGACACACATTTTTAAAAGAATTCTTTTAAGATTCTAATGCACTTAGTTATAGGATAGGATATAAAATCTGCCTGGACTGAACAATTACACTGTTATTACTGAAAAGGCAATCCATAACTTTAATTTGCTCTCCTTATCAGACCGAGTGTATGAGAGAGAGACAGAGAGATAAAAGGCAAAGGAAGTAAAATGGGAAGCATACTGGACTGGGTAGGAGTTCCAAAGCCTTCGAACAAAATTGAGCCTTTCAGAAAGGATACCAGTTTACTTTGGAGAGTCATAGTCAACCAGAGGGAGAGCATGGATAAGGGATCAATAGGATGACTGCTATTCAATGGGCATTTCTCTTCAATAGGTGTCTGTTCCCTTATACAGAAAAAATAAATGTTCCCTGCTTGCTATTTCACTCAAGAGACAGAATCTGAATAAATTAGAAGGGTCATATACACTTCCTTCCATTCCATTCCATTCCATGAGAATGTATGGATACTATGATACTTGACTCCACTTCCTAACTTTCTTCTCCTCTCCCTTTGAAAAATGATGAAAGAACTGAACTAACAGCAGAAAATGAAAATTGAAAACACCAAAGCCATATGGGTCAAATCTCCCATGAACCAGAAGCAACTTAAAGTTAAAGCTCCTTTGAGCCAGGTTTGACTATTGGTGTTATCATAGATATGTCCATGAAGTTTTCTTTGAAACACTATGGAAGTGGATTTCCACTGCCTCCTTCTCAGAAGCTCTCCCATCCTTCATTTTCTAGCCCATCTACAACCCTGGGTTTTCCTAATTTCCCTATTATTCCCATCCAAATGCTAATCAAATCCATCTTTGCCTTTTCTGAAATCAGACAAGATTGGTGAGGTGGGGCTATCTGCTGTGATGCCTCCTGGAAGCAGATCCATTATCTTCTTGTGTAAAATTAGGACAGCGAAGAGTACCTCTAATTCAAAAAAACATTGCTTATATCATGAATTGTTGTCTAATAAACTGTGATACAATCATTAGACAAACACAAACATATGTCCATTACTTCCAAAAAGTTGAGTCAACTATAATTTTATACGTGGCTTATAGCACTACCAATTTTGGGGTATTGACAGTTACAATAATTTCTTTTTCAATTAATATTTTTAACCAGATAGCAATTCAATGAACTAAATCTTCAAATCATATAACAGAAAACCACACTAACCTGTAATGTAACCCCCAACTGGCTTAAGGCTGTCAAACTGTTTATCATATTTCTTTCTTTCTTCAGAAGTGATGGCCCACATATTTGGGCCTCCTGAAAGACAAAAAATAATACTTTTTTAAAATTATGTTCAATAGGGGAAAATAACTTTTGTCTTAGTAATAATATTAAACCCAAAACCTTTATGACCCATCTTGCTCCTACCAATTTGACAGGAATGTGGTTTTTCTTCTTGGCAGTCATCCATTCTTCCTTCAAGTTTTTTACTTTATTATCTTGTTTTTAATATTTCAGATTGCTTTTTCACATATTTTTACAAACTCCCTCTTAGAAAATCAACATTGCCCAAATTCCAGATTTTTAGAAAGCAAAGATTTCTAAAAAGATTTCAAACTCAAGGCCTGTTGAATCATGTATTTTGCAATGCCTGTATGTTTTTCATGAGCATATCTGCATATTTGATCCTTCATATTTACTGGATCATCAGCACATATATGGACATATATAGATAGGTATGCATACATGGGTACTATTATGAATAATTAATTTTTAAATATAAAAACCAAGAGCAAAGTGGTACATTTTGATGTGTAAATAAAATGACCAAATATAATGGTGTGTAAATAACAATAGAATCAAAAGTACAATGCTTTTAAATGAAAAGCCCAATATTAACCAGCTAACTTATCAGTACATAAGATTCTTAAAAAGTATTACCTAAGCAGAGTGAAAGAGCCTTATTCGGTATTGGAAGAATAAATACTTTAAAGAAGCTATTTACCATTTATAGCAGTAGGAAGCTGAGCCAACATAGTCTTGAACATAACTTGCTAGTTCTTAGCCATCTGCAAGAAAACATCATGAATAAAGTATTATTAATAACACAGAAGTACTAGAGGAAGCACATCTTTCCGTAAAGGGCAAGGAAAATGCATCTCCAGCTTCTACATTAGAACTTCTGATCTACTGGTATATTGAGAGTACCCCCAAAAAAGGGTTGGGAGAAAGCTTACAAAGTATAACATGCAGCTGGAAACAATACTTTGTTAATTAACAATATTTTTTAAATTAAAAGTGATATCAATTGTTGAGCAAATTCAAAATGATTAATAAAGATGAATTGGCTTTTTTGACATTGCTTTTTCCAGCACCATTTTAAATTTCGTCAATCTAGCATTCATAGATCTGGCACTAACTGTTGGTCTCTCATCCAAGTATTATTTTAGAATTCTTTATTGGCCAAGTGTGGTTGTACACACAAAGAATTTGTCTTGGTACAAATACTCTCAGTATACATAAAAGAAAAGATACATTCATCAAGAATCATAAGGTACAACACTTAATGGTAGTCATAGGGTACAATAAACAATCAAATCATACTAGCAAACAGTCAATATAAATCGTAAGGATACACGTCACAGTCATACAGTTATCTTTGTTTATTTTTTTTTTGAGATAGTTATTAGATTCTGCCACTTGCTTTGGCTTGGGCTAAAAAAAAGGATGCTCTTAGAAGAGACTCAATACATCTCCACACCAAAAATTGTAAAATCTCAATTAAAGGATCTCAAAGGTATGAAAAAGATATGAAAAGGATGTGGAAAAAATAGAAATTAAATACAATAAAGAAAGAGAAAGGATACAGGTATCCTCAACTTATTAATTGAACCCTGAACTACAGTTCTAAGTTGTTGTGGTCATTATATGAATCACCATGAAACCAGACCCAATTGTATGACATGTTTTGGGTGCTCATTAGCAATTCAGAAATCTTTAAGAAATACTGTAGTTGTTAAGCAAATGCTGCAGTTGTCAAGCAAATCCATTTTACTCAAGGGGTGCTTTTTATTAAAAACTGGAAATAAATGCTGGAAACTGTAAAAAAAAGTGTCAAAAATCATGGTGATGTGACCATGGAATACTGAAAACAGCCATTAAGGTGAGCCAATTGCCAAGGGCCCAAAATGTGATCATGTAACTGTGCGAGGATGGTGCAACCATTGTAATTTAGAAATTCCATTGCAAACAGCTTTTGGGTGTCTATCATAATTTAGAACTGTTGCTAAGTAACTGTTCATAAATTGAGGACTACCTGCAGAGATCTAGTTATTGACTAGATTAAATAACTTTAGTTAATTATTAGGACTGTAATTTCCAGAAAGATTTTCCATCCAATTCAGGGAATGTGTACAGTTGTTATGTAGCTAGGGGTAGCCAAGAATTGGAGTAGTAATCAATATAAAATGTGTTTTCCCCTTATTACTCCAACACATCAGTAATTCCTGTGCAAGGGTTGTAATGCATAATGCAAGAACAGCCTTCCCAGTAGATAGTCCCACCAGCAAAGTTGGCAGTGTCAATATGAAGCTACTGGTATATCTCAGGTTGGTGAGGGTACTTCCCCTCTTTTTTAAAAAAAATCTGCATATGTACAAAATACTGGAGAAGTGCAAGGCTTCAGGTTAAATGTAACTTGATTTTTTTTTTTACATTCTGGATGTAAAAGTGACAGACATATGCTTAATACATTCTTCACAAATGTAACTAAACAAGTTAAAATATTCATCTGCTAGTAGAAAGAACAAAGCTATTGAATCTATCTATGCTGTTGATATCCAGGTATGATAAACATGTTTGTGAGGAGATACATAGATCAGGCATGTGTTAATTTGGTCAAAAGCTGACTTCTCAGAAAATAAGTCAATCAAGCTGTGATCATTTAAGTTCTGAATAATTATTCTTTTTTTATTTTCCACCCATTGACATCATTGGCCTGAGATAATCAAAACAAGAGGCACCCTGGAACAATTTCTAAAGATCAGCAATTTATTATTCAGTGATTAACTTTGTCTGGACAAGCTTCTTAACCAATTAAAAATTATTATCCCACAGAGTAAGAGTTCCTTGCCCACCCCTCAAATATTGCCAGAAAATCCCAGAGAAAACACAAGCCTAGAGGACTCAAAACTGTTTGCAGAAGCTTTGGTGGTTTGAGCAAGCCAAATTTCCCAAAAGAACAATGTTCCTGCTTTTTCCAGATAGTAGTTTTATCCTCTAGTGTCTGAATGGTGTCATGAACTTCGCTGTAATAGTTTTTGTTTTATACCATGCCCTCATTGTGTTGCCTTTGTGTCATCATCAGTTGCACTTAGCTATTAAAGTGATCCAATTTTAAAGTTCTATTTTAAACTATCTTCTCCAAATAAAAGCTTTGCCCTGGCCATGCTCTTGCAGTAGAGAGCGCCCAGACTAGTTAGATGTGTGTGTGTCCAATTAAGCAAAGAAAGTCTGGAGCATGATCTGGGAGGGCTCTGGTTCTGTATATAGGTCCAAAGCTGGCTCACTCTCAGAATTCACTTCTGTTCTGCCTGAGTAAATCAACAAAGTTAGGATTTTCTAAATGGCTTCTATAAAGAACGAATAGAACTCCAAAATACATATGGTTCAAAAAAAAAAAAAAAGAGTACCAGAGTCAAAAATAAAACCTAGATTGCAAGAATTATGCAAAACTAAGTTAGTCCACCTTTTTCATTAAAAAAATAAATAATAAAATTTATTTTTGAATGTGAAGAGAGTTTATTTCATAAAGTTGTAAGGTAAGTGACACAAGAACAGTTTTCCCCCGAAAGCCATCACTCTGCTAAGCAAATAATTCCCTCAACACTGTTCAACTATTTACAAAGTGTACACTACTATTACTGTTAATCTTCTCACCACTCCTTATCACCCATCCCCTCCCACTTGACTGTTTCCTAGTATGATTTGATTGTTGATTGTACCCTATGACTATCATTAAGTGTTGTACGTTAATGATTCTTGATTCTTAACGAATGTACCTTTTCTTTATGTATACTGAGAATATTTACACCAAGACAAATTCCTTATGTATCCAATCACACTTGGCCAATAAAGTATTCTATTCTATTCTATTCTATTCTATTCTATTCTATTCTATTCTATTCTATTCTATTC